GGGCGGGGCAGGGCAGCCTGCCCGCTGCTCCGAGCGGGTTCGTGCGAAAGACGGGAGATTTCTGCTAAATTTCTCCTTGTGTCTATTATCGGCCAGCTCCAGGTAACAGCAGGGGAAAACACACATCTGTGAAAAGAAATACAGAGCTGCTCTGGAAGTGGCAACAGCTTTGGATTTGCTAGTTTTCTGCAGCTTGCTGGAAGCACAGATATGCTTATCTTTTTTTTCTTTGGTGTTTTTTTTTGTTTTGTTTTTTGTAACCCCCACCTTGTACTGGTTCACGGTCGCAATGAGAAAGGAGAAGGAGATGGCGGTGGCTGCCATGGCGTGGGTGGAAGGCATCCCGTACTCTGCATCCGTCCTCCTTTCCAGCTTGACGACAGGTGGCGAGAGGGGCCGGGGCCACTTCAGGATGTCCTTGGAGACCTGGCCTATGTACATCACGATCTAGGGAGAGGAAAGGCCACGGGGCTGTCAGTCAGCACAGGCAATCCCCACTCAGCCCACCCAAGAACCACCTCTATTTCTGCGCTTTTTCCTGCAAAATCCACCACGCTGAGCGCAGGATTTATCCCCTGAATTATTAAAGGGTTTTCCATTATCCCAGTCAGCGAAGGAAGCGGCAGCTCTACTGCATCATGTCGTAACCTGATCAGAAGTGACACCAAAAGGAGGGTTTGCTGACGAGATGCATCAACACAGGATGGTGAGAGACGGACAGCTGGCTCCCACCCCACGCTAGAGAAGTTTAAGTTTCTCCCTATCCCTTACAACCCCTCTCCTGAATAGTGCGAACAGCCACAAGAGAAGTTTTTCCACCACCACCTCCAAATCACCGCCCTGCCCAGCTGCATCCCCCGCAGCTCCAGGCAGCAGCTCTGCCAGGGCAGCACCAGCTCTCCCAGTGCCAGCAGCTCCCTGTCCTCCTGCAGCACAAGGCACTGCAGGAGCCCCGCTGGGACGCACCACCAGCAAGGTTATTAAATAAAAGCCTTGGCATCCTCAGTGAGGCAGCAGAGAGAAAACTGGATGAGCAACATAAAGTACCAGTTCTCCTGCCTGACTCCCCAACAACAGGCTTTTGTGCCCTGCTTGGGACAGCAGAGGTTTAAATTAAGCAAGGGCTCCAATAATTACCTACTGAGCACTGCAACGCAGTGTTTTTGGGGAGAAATGTTGCATTCTCAGGCCACTGCAAGCAGTAGCAATGGGAAGCAGAGGCAAGAGGGAAAGCTGGCCAGCATCCCCGAGAGGCACAGCCCACCCAGCAGCTCCCAGGGCACCCAACGTGCTGACATCCTCTGCTCCTCAGCACCTTCTTCCCAAGGCAAAGGGCTCTCAGCATCCTCAGTGAGAAGGATGTGAATAAAAATCACCCTTGCTGTCTCTGGAGGATGTATTTGCTTTCTGTTGCCACCCTCCTCCCTTTGGATAGTGCAGCCAGACATATGCAAAGCAAGCTCTACAAACAAAACCAAACCTTTTAACTTTTTTTCTTTTTTTTAACATGAAAATTAGGTTAACTGACGTCTGCCATGAAAGCTCAGTTGCTGTGCGAGACAGCTCACTGTTCTGATTCTCACGCTTCCTCTAGCAAAGGAGGGGCCTTAAAATAACATCCTTCCCATGCTGGTGTTAGCCATATGCCAGAACAGCAACACGATCATCCGCTGCCACATTTGTCACCAGCCACATTGCATCCCTCTCTCCCCACCAGCCATCTAAAACATGGCTTCACACTAAAAGAAACACATCAGGATCCAGGATTCACAAATCAGGACCAGGAAAAAGCCAAAACATCATGTTCCTTCGTCCCCCTCTCTACAGCAAAGGGCATGCCGCAGGGACTGCCGGGCTTACAGCCAGCACCAGAGCCTGGAAAAGTGGCCGCTGGTGCCTTTGCACCCTGTATCCCTCATCCCATGAATCACATCACCACCTCATGATCAGCACCACCCGCGGCATGCCTGGCTGCTCCTGCTTCACCCCGATATGTGCCCTGATACACGGGGCATAGGGCAGTCAGCAAACACCCTGCCCGGCCTGCTCACAGGAAACAAAAGGCTCAGGGAACAACCGTCTTAAGGAAACTGCTGCTTGGGTTTATTCGATTAATGCCACCAGTTTCCAAAGGGATGCAGGCATATCTTTGGAAGTTAATTAAATTCCAGGGTTGAAAGCAAAACTACTCTTTCCAACAGAACACAAAACATTGCGGCTGCCGCTTCTGATACCATCTGAGAGGCAAGGTAGGACGAGCCAGTTTATCAGCAGTCCTCTGTAATAATGACTTCCACTTGTAGAAGTATTATTAGCAGTAGCACGTAAGAGCATTACAGAAGGGGAAATGAGTCATCTTTGGAATGAAGGCTATGCTAGGACTTCTCTGATGGTAAAAAACAGGCTGAATGCTGGAGGTGGTACGGGTAAGCAAAAATACCAAGCATCCTCACAACACCTTCCTGCCTGGCATTCCCAATTAAATTCCATTTTATAAAAACACATATTTTATAGACATGTACAGTAATGAGAGATGAGACAACCTCCATAAAACATGAAGAGGAGTCCAGAATACATTCAGACTAAGCACAGGTCTCTGAAGCACCAGACCTTTGCTTTTAGCTTATCTGGGTGCTGTGCCCGTGGTTTTATACACAACGTCCTGGATTATTTGGCAGAAGCAGCCGTTGTGGGTGCGGTAAAACACCCTCCATCAGCGGAACTGGCAGGCTTCCCCGAGAAGGTGAAAGCTGACAAGCGCACCGTTGCTAAAAGGCACCCGGCAAAGGTGTTGCTGTGGTTCTCCTGCCTCCCCACACGCGGCTCGGAGGCGGCTGGAGGAGCACAGGGCTGCCCAGGCTCTGCCCAGGCTCTCCAGCTCCCAGCATGGCGAAGCCAGCAGCCCAGAGCTCCTGCCAGATCTGCCGGTGGTGGGCAAATGGGTGCCATCCCCGGGGGAGACAGAGCTGGGCAGGCAGAGCACCAGCTGGGAGCTGTGCAGCCCAGCCCAGCCCTGCAGCCAGTCCTGCCAGGACCATCACACAGCTGGCGGCTGAGATACCCCCCTGCAAGTGTGCCAGGCACAAGCTCCCAGAGCTCGGCCACAAAAAAAAACAGTAAGAAGCCACCATGGACGCGGTCACTATGTGACAAGTGCTGTGCAGAAACACACTTCCAGCATGATATTTAATTGCAGGATATCTCTGAATTGCACTCTGCTGCAGCTCTCATCTTCTGAGGATGGCAGGTATCGGCCTTCGTTAAGTGCCACATTCTCTCGTAGGCCACATTTCATTATTCCCTGACCTTATTTCTCTGTCATTTTGGATTTAGTCTCTAACAGTCCCCAGAAACAAAGCAGGCAGCCTGAAAGTTTTGACCTGTTATCAGCTTTTTTCAACCTAGCAGCTGAGAAAACCCCTGTAACATTGCGAACCATAAGCACAGAAGCACTGGAAAGGAGAAAGGAGATGGAGAGATGAGCACGGGGGACAGGTTAAAGATCAACGCTGAGCTAAGCCTCACCTACATTTGACTTGAATTACCTATTTGCGCAATGCCAAAAATCTTTGATGGCCCTGGAAATAAATTTAGCATGGGCAGAAATTACCCTAACTCCACACCAGCAGGTAACTCGGGATTGCTTAGGTGACAAAGCCAAGCTCAGGGGACTGGATGACTTTGCTGTGATCTCCAGCCTACCCTAGGGAAGCCGAACAGCCCATTCACGCTGGCTTGGGACACGCAGGGGAGGGCAGGTTAAGGCTTGACCCAGCAGTGTGTCACCCCACAGCTGCTGACTGGCTGCAAGTTTGTGCATTTCAAAGTCTAAGGAAGGGTGATCCCCCGGGCTTCACCCCGCTCCCCTTTCTCCGCAAGGGCTGAGAAGATTTAGGGAGGAAGGAGGCGCCAGGCTCAAACCATACTAATCTACCATTTAAATAAAAGCCATTCCAAAAGTCTTCACATGCTCAGGGACTTTTCCACCTGATAGGTCTCCAGGCCCAAAGCTGAACGTTGGAGAGAAAGGTATGGCAAAGGAGAGAAACCTTGAAGCAAATAATTTCTTCATGCTTTATTGTTCTACTTGCTTCTTCCCGGCGTTACTGACATTTTTTGCCTACCTAGAGTGCTATATTACGGCTCTCAATGCTATCCTTCTCTGTTTATTTCTAGCACAGGCTCTCTTGCTCTCCATCCGCGTGATGCAGATCAACCAAATTTTCTGCAGTTCTTGTGGAAAACAGTTTGCAGACATCTTCACCATAAATAATTTGAATTTGCACATTAATTAGCACCTCTGTCTCTGCATGGGGAATTTGTCTGAACCTGGAGACTTTTCCATTACTGACGCAACAAAGTCAAAGCTGTGATGGATTGTGTAGGACACAATTAGCTGAAGAAGATAAGTACACAGAAATGCACGGGAATTTAGTTGAGATTTCACAAAAGCCGATGGGAGGGGCATGACTAATTCCCTTCACCCTGGCAGCTGACAGCAGCAGCTCTAACTACCATGTACCTCAGACTGTTGAAACTTTGCAAAATGAAACTTCATTGTTTCACACCTGAGTTACACCTGAGTGTTGGCAAATGAGGGGGACTGCTCAGGCTGGCAGGGAGGGAGGGGAGCTGGAGTCTAAGGATGAGCAAAGGAAAACCACCACAGGTCAGCACCACCACCTTCCCAGGTCACCAGGTACCCACAAGCAGGGCCCAAACCTGGGCAGAAGCAAAGCGATGCTCTTGGGCATCAGACAGGACCGTACAGGGAGCCCTCGCCTTGAGACGCCCACCGTGCTTTCCGACAGGAACATTCTTTTAGAGGAGCCCGTGGGGCTCTGCTCTACCTCTGTATATGCCACTGCTACAAGCTACAGCTGTGACAATTGCCACGATGCGAGTCCTTACTAAAGAAGTGATGGCCAAGGCAAGTTGGACCATGACACAGGAGTAGAAGTGTGGTGGAGGAGTCACTAGCAACAACTATGCCAATGCATAACGCAGGGAAATGCTGCTTTCCCTTCTGCATCGAGGTGTGCATACACACATAAGGACAAGGTGCTCAGATATCACTGCCATGGTGGGAACCCCCAGGAATTTACATCAGCGCCCTAATATTTGCAGCGTCACTTGACAGCAACATGGCACAGCACCAGCTGGAGATGCGGGGAATCAAGCGCATCACGCGAGCCCCTTCTTCCACAGCCACACACTGACCCCCACGCTCCTCCCTGCCCCACGAGCGCGGTCGCCTCTCGTGGGCCCCCCCCTGCCGCTGCTCTGCCTCTGTGAGACACCGACCGGGCGCTTCGCCGATGCAGCTGAGCCCATGAGCTGTGCTCGCAGGCAGAGGAGAGCCCAGGGTTAGGCAAGGAAGGCTCTTCCTCCCCAGGGCTGCTCCTGCACTGCGAGATATTACCCACGTCTTCCTCCGCTCCACAATG